TGACGATGGAGACGGGGATCAAGCAGGCGGATGCGCTGGTTAATCTTATTGTTGATGAGGGGGGTGTTGGCGGGGTGGATTGGATTGATCCTACTTTGGAGCAGACAATGGGGGGAGATGGGCTGTTGTTGTCGCCGGATATGCTATCGCATGATGGGTGGGGGAATGGAGGGGGGTTGTATGGATTGGGGTTGTCGCCGTTGCAGGTGCCGATGGAGTATATGGGGGATGATTTGGGGGTGGGGGTTGGGGGGGGGGATTTGGTTTGGGTTTGAAGAATGGAAGGGGAAAAGATGATGAATGATACCAGACTATATGATTGGGGTGAAATTCTTGTACATTTTGTTGTTGTTTTTTTTGTATATTATTATGGCCGCTGCCGCTGATGAGAAAGGCAGATGTGATGATGACCTGAAATCATGAAATCTCGAAAGATTTATTACAAAAGCCACTTCTTGCAGTGTGACGAAATTTTTATTTTTATTGCCGCTTTTCCTGCCAACATATACACATGAATCATTCGCATTGTTCAGGTAACCCCCAAACGCCAACAATGCTTTTTCCACCCATAATCACCACCCATCAAAATTCCCAAACCCCCCTCCCCCCACCCTCGTCTTCTTCTTCACCGGTTCCTCCCAAGTATCCGTCTCCCCTTCCCCCTCCCCCTCTTGTCTTTGTCCCTTCACCTCCTTCAAATACTTGCCCACCCCCCCCTTCCCACCCCCCCCGTCCTCCCCCCTCAACCTCTTCCCCGTCCAAGTAGTCCTATCATCCTCCGTCCCCCCCTTCCTCTCCACCTCCTTCTTCTTCTCCTCCTCCCTCTCCTTCTCCCCTTTCTCCCTCAAAAACTCCTCAAAACAATCCAGCAATACCACCACCTCCTTTGATCTTGATCTCCTTCCAAAGGGCCTTACTATTCCCCCCCCCCCACCCTCGCCCCCCTCCATTTTTGCTAGTGTCCCCTCCGAATCAACCACCCTCCCAAAAACGGTGTGCTTCCTGTCCAAATGACTCGCCTCCCGATACGTGATAAAAAACTGACTGCTGTTCGTGTTCTTCCCCTTATTCGCCATGCTCACCACCCCGCGTTTATCATGCTTCAACGGACCCTCCAGCTCGTCATTAAACGTCTTCTTCCATATACTCGTCCCACCTCTCCCCGTACCAGTGGGATCACCACCTTGGATCATGAAATTTTTGATGTTTCTATGAAAAAGGGTGTTATTGTAGTATCCTTTCTGGGATAAGCGCAAAAAGTTCCAGACGGCTTTGGGGGCGAATTCGGGGAAGAGTTCTAGGGTTAGGTCCCCCAAGGTGGTGGAAATGCGGACGTAGGCGGGGTGTTTACTGTTGGAGAGGCGGCGGGGTTTGAGGAGGTATTCTTCTTCTGAGAGGAGGGCTAGCGAGCCGGAAGTGGACGGGGTGAGGCCGGTGGAGGTGAAGGAGGCGGCGGCGGCGCCGGTGGTGTAGATTGCCGAGTTGGAGGGTTTTTGTTTTTCTTGGATGAGGGATTGGCGCGGGGTGGTGGTGGAGGAAGAAGATTTGGTGAGGGTTTTGGAAGAGGCGGATTGGTTGATGTCTGATGCCGACTGGCGAGCCTCACGGGCGCGGGCGACGGCTTCTTTTGCGCGGAGGACTTTATCCCCTATTCTTCCCAGGGCGTCGATGTTGATGCCGCTTTCCTTGCGGGTTTCGGCTTGTTCTGGGGTGAGTGCGGCTTCCTCGCCGTCTTGAATATGTTTAAACTGGCTGAGGTCACGGCTGGCGGCGTTTTGGGGGTCTTGCAAGGTGATGATGTCTTTGCGACCGAACTCGGCGTCGTCGACGAGGTCGCGCCACATTTTGGGCTTGATGTTCATCCGCTCGACGGTTTCCCACGCAAAAACGTTGGCGTAGTTGCCGTGGCGGATCGCAACGATGTGGGTGTTGTCGGTGAAGACCTTGAAGGTGACGGGGTCGATGAAGTCGCCTTTGCCGTCGGTGGGGATGCCATTGCGATCGTTGCTGTTGTTGGTGTCGGCGTTGCGCGCAAAGTTGAGCTTGATCAGGTCCTTGGCGGAGAGTGGTTTGCCGTCGACAGGGTTCGTTCCTTTCTTTTCGAGCCAGGCGCTGATGACTTCGATGTCGAAGATGGTGCCGTCGGCGGTGCAAACTGGGTTCTTGAAGGGTTGGAGACTGGCGGCGCAAAAGTTGAAGGGAAGGCGCTTGAAGCTCGCATGCGCTCCAGTTCGTTGCGCGCGTGATCCTGCATTTGCGCCGACACTGGCGCCGTAGGCATCGGCGGATGACCACTCGGAATGGGTGATATATAGCTTGTCCGTTCCTTTACCCATCTTTGCGACAGGTTTGGTTGGAGGGTGGTCACTGGTGATTGGGGTGTGACGTAGAGATGGCGGGACGGGAGCAAACAAAACAATTGTTGATTTCCAGAAGGTTGTCAGGCACACCTCTTATCTTATCGGCTGGCAATTCACTAACTGAATCTGACAGGGGGCCAGGGGCTCAGCTCGATGACGCCTCGCACGGCACAGTGTGCTGATTGGCTCCAGCTGCGTTTCATACAGTGGGTGCCCGTTGGAGCAGGGAGCTTGCGCAACGTCGACCAGCGCACCCCAGACAGTGATCGGTGCAGTAGCAGCCCATCTCCAACTTCAACCTGGCCTGCATCTTAAACTTTTTGAAAATCGACCTCTTTTTTTCTTATCAAGACGAAACTCAAGTCTCACCCGACGAAAGCAGCCACCAGACACTGAAGCGCGAGACGGTCGAATCCATGGTGCAATTCGCCGCTTCAACTTTCTAGACCACATCGAGACACGTACGCTCGCTGTCTAACATCAACCCGAACCGACATTCGACGACAGCCAGACACACACGACATCACCACCCACCATGAGGGGTTGGGCATCCACTTTATTCCTACTGGCGTCGTCCGCATGGACTGCCAAGGCGTTGGAGATCGCATTGGTGAGCACTGTGCTCTGCCAGCTTTGTTCTCTAGCCATGAGCTAACAATGCGCCGGAATAACAGGACCAGACAGACGAAAACAGGCAACGATGTGCCGGCATGTACGATAAGCAAGCCTGGGGCGGCCCCGTCGACCCCTTTATCCTCGTCAAGTTCACCGACGTCGGCAAGGACTCGGGACCCGATCCGATCACCAGTCTCCTGATTGTGGAATGGAAGGACACAGACTACATCGGCGTGGGACAAGAGGGTGGCGGTAGGGAAGCCATCTGCCGGCCGAAGGATGTCGAGATGGGATACTGCAAGGAGGCCCAGCTGGGTGAATTCATTCTCGCGCCAAACGCTACCGAAAAGTCCGAAAACTTGATCCTCACCAAGGCCGTCCACCTCAAGAAAGCGAGCCCGATCAACTACCCCATCACCAAGACTGGTTACTACTGCGTCATTACCGATCAGTTTACCGACAATGATTACGAGGCTATCGTGGAGTTTAGAAACGCATATGGAGAGCTCCCGGCCACACAGATCCCGAAGCTGCCGTTTTATGGAGGAATAACGATCCTCTATGCGCTGGTGTTGGTGTACTGGGGCTTTCTCTACTATCAGCATCGCACCGATATCTTGGCTGTGCAGAATTATATTACAGCAATCCTCATCTTCCTCGTCGTGGAGATGTTGATGACATGGGGATTCTATGGTGAGCATGTCATGATGTTGTTGGTGGACTGTTTCACTAACGAGACCTAGACTATCTCAACAGACATGGGTCAAATCTTGGGTCCAAGATCTTGCTGGTCGTGGTTGCCGTCTTGAACGCTGCGCGCAACTCGTTTTCGTTCTTTCTGCTCCTGATCGTCTGCATGGGTTATGGTGTCGTCAAGCCCACACTCGGCAAGACCATGATCTATGTCCGTTGGCTCGCCATTGCGCACTTTGTCTTTGGCATTGTCTATGCGGTGACAAGTTTAGTCATAACACCCGATAACGCCGGTAAGCCAGGAGTCCTACCCCTTTGTCGAAGCTCACAAGCTAACCCAATTAGGCCCCTTCGTACTCCTGATTGTCTTCCCCCTGGCCGGCACTCTCACAGCCTTCTACGTCTGGACCCTCAACTCGCTCAACTTCACCCTCAAGGACCTCCGCGAGCGCAAGCAGCACGTCAAGGAGACCATGTACAAGAAGCTGTGGTGGGGCATACTGATCTCCATCATTGTCATCTTTGCCTTCTTCTTCTTCAACTCCTTCACCTTTGCCTCGGCCAGCGACCCGGATTTTGTGCCCTTCCACTGGAAGAGCAGGTGGTTCATTCTCGACGGCTGGCTTAATATTGTTTACTTTGCCGACGTGGCCTGGATCGCCTATGTCTGGAGGCCGACGGCGAACAACAAGCGCTTCGCCATGAGTGACGAGATTGCGCAGGAGGACGACGGGACGTTTGAGATTGCCAATCTTGATATTGGGAATCCGGATGAGAGCGATGATGAGGATGAGGAGCAGAGGATTGGGAAGAACCAGCAGCAGCAGGAGAGAGGGTTTGCTGGGGCGAGTGTGGCTGGTGGTGTGTTGCATCCACCTCAGCAGAGTGGGGTTGCTTCTTCGTCTTCTGGGCAGGGGCAGCAGCAGCAGCAGAGGAAGGCCAGTCCGGAGAGGGACTCGTTTGATGGGGAGACGATTTTTGCGGTTGGGGAGGATGGGGATAAGTTTTCGAGTGATGATGAGGATGATGATAGTGAGGAGGAGGCTAAGTTGGTGAGGGGGAGGAAATAGATTATCTCTTTTGGGTAGGGGGGGGGGAGAGTAATGAGGAAGGGAAGGTGGTATATAATGTGGACATGAAGTAGGGAAGAAGGATGGTGGTGAAAGGGGGAGGTGGGGTAAAAGGACAACAACAACAACAACAACCACAATAACAACACCAACAACAGCAACAGACGATGTTCTTTAGAACAGATATAACGGACGTGCTCGAAAAGGCGGCAGCTCGTCGGAATATTGAAAGTTTATTCGTGTACTTGTAGTGTTACATTTTCGCAAGGCCTGTCTTATGTGTTGACGGTGGGTAGGCATGGGCATCGTCGCATTTTTGCATTTTCGTTTGGATTAATGGGAGATGGGAATAGAGAGAAAGCATTCTACTACTGTTCGATGGTTTATTGGGATGTGTTTCACCACCATGATCTTTCATCTAAAACAACCTCATCAACACCAGCACCCTTACACACCATATGGGTTCAATAGTGTCTACTCTCATTGTAGTGAGGCCTTTTGAGATATTAGCACCGTCCAAGCCGTGGAAAGCCTCCCTTGGATGCCTTTCGGCTTTGGAGCCCGGTTTAACAACGTCTACACTCATTAAAGAGAGCATTCAGCACCGTACAAAACCATTATGCTCCGGGGGCAGCCAATATCAACATGCAATATAGGCTTGAGGCTTGAGTAGTAGCAGTAGGCGAGGGTACCAGGGCTTGTTGTTGGTGCTGCTCGAGATGTCATGAGGCAAAGAGGGCGGCGGTTGTGGCTAGTAGAACGCAAACATCTTCGTAGGCAGTCTTGACGCTCGAACGCGAGAATACAAGTTATGGCAGAGCAAGCCACATGGTCGGCATAGCCAACACAAAATTCGTAGCCAACCGCTCTGGTCAGCCAAACTGTATTTTGTCAGGACTGCGTACACCGCCTCCGATTTACCATAAATTCCCTTTTACGTTTAACATCCGACTCTGCAGCCCGAAACACACCTTGACCTGCCAAAAGATAAAGGCTTGCGAATATACCATGTCCTCCTCCATATGCGTATGGCCCTACTGGGCCCGGTTACCAGCAGAAATACGTCAACTTGTGCTGGAATCGCTTCACTAAATCACCCCATCGAAACCGATAGCAGTGGGATCCATCCAATAACCCGGCTGGCAAATCATCAAGCCTGCAAAGGATCGTTCTAAATACGCTGCTGTTAACAGAGAGTTTCAACACTTCTTTGAAGCCATCAACTTCCGCCACCTGGCGCTCTCACAGCACGACCTCCCCGACTTTGGCCGGCTTGTATCTGGCCGACGCATTCATAGATTGGGCTGCACTCGCTACCTCTGGTTGCGTGTGCTCCTGCCAACTTAGGGATGCGATGTCTGCCAGAAGGACGAAGACTCAACTACCCAGGAAAACAACAACGCGACATTCACTTGGGCTCTCATTCAATTACTGGATATTCTGTCTCGGTGGAAGAGAAAAGACGCACTCGTGGAACACCAGGACCCAACAAAGGCATGACCTTGGAGCTCAGCGCACACTCGGTAAGTGACCGCAGCGTGTCTGGGAAGCATATGTTTTACTTGAAGGATACGTACCCCTACAAGCCGCAACCTGGTCAATGGGCTTTCCGGAGGCGGTTTAAGTACTTTTTCATGAAATACTACGAAGACTTCGAGTTCAGACACCTCAACGACTACTTTCATCATCATCAGCATGGAGCTCTGATGTTCAGACACGTCTCTGCTGAGGCTAGATCGCGACTTTTGGGTACAGAGCCGTTGTATTTGAACTTTAGGAACAGCCCGTTGCGCGGTGGCCGACGCAAGGCGATCAAGACTCCCTCGGTGTGAGATTGTCACAGGACTTACCTTCCGCCGGCGGTTTCATCGAGCAGTGAACCCATATGTTCGTTATAGGCTGCTTGGGGAGAGCTTTGTTTGTATGCAGCGCCTCAGGCTCGAGTTTTGGTGTCTCAATCTGGTGGACGGAGTTTATGATGACACGAGCAGAATTTACGGTATGTTACCTCTACCTACTTTGGTCCCTCCCACAGCTTTAAAAGTTATGTCAACTAACGCAATTCAAAAGGCACTTCAGAGAGCTGTGCGACCTCGTCCTTTTTCAAGTCTTCAGAAGGCCCCAACAAACCCGCGTCATCAAGCTTTCTTTTTATGTGGATTATAACCTCTTGATTAACGGGTGGGATTGCTTCCATAAGCCTCCAGACGCAGTTAACATTTTCGGAGCTGCGTTGGATGTCGGGAGTTACGACCTCGAAGCTTTGGCGAGTTCGTGGGATTCGGACGCCGAGGATTTCTTTGCGCCAATCGACGTTGATCTTTTTCACCACCACCGTTATGAATTTCGCATAGAAGATGGGTTTGTGGGGTGGGAGCCTCAGTGGTCGAACCTCAAGCGTCTTGCTTTGACAACAAGGGTCCTTCACCCCGAAAGCTCACACATCAGAAAGAATCAGCTGCTCCTTTGGGCCGCCCACGCTGCCATCAGAATGCCAAAACTGGAGATGATGGAATATGGAACTGCTCGGGCTGGACGGTTGAGACGTCGCAGGCCTGCGTCTTTCGCTACAGCTTCAAGGAGAAAGACGCCCTTCATAGGCGAGGATGACCTTCCACTTGATGAAGGATGTCATGCCTGGCGCAACAATACGGCCATTATAACTGAGCTTGAGTTGGGGTCGGATATAATCCATTTACTCTCAGCATTTCAGATCTATGCGGAAACAGTACAACGAACGTGGGCTTCTTTGCAGTGATCGAGAGTGCTACTCACCACCTCCCGCGCTCGCAAACCTTCTATCCTTGCGTCAGCAAACCATCACCCGTGCACCCGCCAGACTTGCCCCTTTTCTCGTTGTATTTTCAACTTCGCTTCCTCGCGTACCACCCACCACCGTTCCCAAGCCACCACCATCATCGTTCACAAGCCCCCCCTTCCTTTATTGTTCCTCGCTTGCACGCACTCCCGGTTTTTGGTTCTTTGCTCACTCGCGCCCCTGTTTTTTCCAATCAAAAAAATGCCTCCCAAAGGAGCGCCCGCCCAGGGAACCTGCCGCTCGCGGCGCCAAGCCATTTAGTTGATGTGTGTCTTTGTCGTCTGTACTCGTCTAACTTGGTCCAATATAAATAGACGAGGAGCCCGAGTTTGAGAGGTTGCCCTGTCCTAAGCACCCCCACCGCCAGCACCACCAACACCTCCAGCGCGGCTGCCTCGGCGTTGAATGCAAGACCCGGCCGACTACCCCAAGGACAGGATCAAGAACACTCCTCCAGCA